CCAACTCAAAAAAAAAAAAAAAAAAAGAAAAGAAAACAGACTGAAAAATATATAATGAAAGTAGTGATTGTACTAAAGGCTAGAAATAGATTTTGTTAAAATTTTATAAGTTTGTGCTTTAACATGCAAAAGCTGATTTGAGCCTTTATAGGCACACAAAATCCGTCACGTTGAAGTTTCCACATGAAACACATTCCTAAATGAAGATGCTGAAAGCTAGTTGGGGTCAGGCTTATAATCAACCCATAAGTCTCTTCTATTGATCTAGAAATTGTCACCAAAAATGGTGCTGAAGGATTTGGAGGAGGTATAAAATTCTTAGCTGGCTCTGTTAACTACTTACAATGTTACTAATAAATACAGAAAGATCATCACGATAGAGAACATTGGCTGCTGCTGAGTCTTGGAGTTGACCATCTGGGAAAGTCATAGGCTGAAGAATGGAGATAGAATTCTAAGAAACTGGTCAACAGTGAGTCTCACAGGTCAAATCTAACAATGTTTTTAAAGGCAGGAAAAATGGTAAGTAAGTGATGAGAGAATAGATCAGCAAAAATCTTATAAACTCAGGGCACAGTCTGTGCAAAGATCATGAAAACAGGAATGAGCTTGGGATGCTCAAGTTACCTGAAGGAAGTTCTTATGGCTGGGGTGTAGTTGGTGGGTGGAGGGACATGAAATACAGTTGAAAAAGTAGGCAGGGGCTAGACCCAGAGCCTTTCAGACCACGGCAAGGAGATGGAACTGTATCCCAAATGCAGCGAGAAGCAACTGAAATGTGTTTGTTTATTTATTTATATTTTTTGAGTCAGGGTCTTACTCCATCACCCAGGCTGGAATGCAGAGGCACAATCATGGCCCACCACAGCATTGACCTCCTGGGCTCAGTTGATCCATCAGCTTCAGCTTGCCGAGTAGCTGGGACTACAGACACATGACACTGAGCTAATTATTTTGTAAAGACGAGGTCTAGGTGTGTTGCCTAGGCTGGTCTCGAACTTCTGGGCTCAAGCAATCCTCCTGCCTTGGCTTTCCAAAGTTCTGGGATTACAGGCATGAGCCACCACGACCAGCATAACGTGTTTTATTTTATTTTTTATTTTTTGATTTGGAATCTCACTCTGTCGCCCAGACTGGAATGCAGTGGCCACTCCTGGCCACCGCAGCCTCAACCTGCTGGGCTCCGGCGATCCTTCCGCCTCACCTTCCGAGTAGCTGGAATTACAGGTATGCGCTACTATGCCCGGCTGATTTTTTGATTTATTGTTTTTTGTTTGTTTGTTTGTTTGTTTTGAGTTGGAGTCTCACTCTGTCACCTAGACTGGAGCCTCAACCTGCTGGATTCCAGCGATCCTTCCGCCTCAGCCTTCCAAGTAGCTGGAACTACAGGCGCGCGCTACCATGCCCAGCTAATTTTTTGATTTATTATAGAAATGAGGTCTCACCAAGTTGCCCAGGCGCCGTGGGCTCAGGCAGTCCACTCACTTTAGCCTCCCAAGGCGTGGGATTACAGGCTGAGCCACCGAGCCCGGCTCTTTTTCTTTTTTTAAATAGAGATGAGGTCTCACTGTGTTACCCAGGCTGTTCTTGAACTTCTGGGCTCAAGCAGTCCTTCTGCCTTGGCCTCCCAAAGTGCCCAGCTAGGATATATCCATTATTTTCTTATAGTTTATATATTGAAGAAACAGGGTTTTTTGTTTTTGTTGTTTTTGAATCAGGTTCTCACTGTGTTGCCCAGGCTGGAGTGCAGTGGCATGATCATGACTCACTGCAGCCTCAACCTCCTGGGCTCCGGCAATTCTCCTGCCTCAGCCTGCTGAGTAGCAGGACCACAGGTGCAAGTCACCATGCCTGGCTAATTTTTTAGTTTTTTGTAGAGACAGGGTCTCACTATGTAGTGTAGGCTGATCTGGAACACCTGGGCTCAAGCAATCCTCCTGCCTCAGCTTCCCAAAGTACTAGGATTACACAGGCATGAGCCACCATGCCTATTCAGGGAGTTGTCTTGTAGGTTTCTTACACTCTGAATTTTGCTGATCACATCTTTTTGGCTTCGCTAAACCTGTTCCTTTGTCATATGTCTTGCCTATAAACTTTTGTTGGTCCATGGCCTGTTAGGAACCCGGCCTTATAGCAGGACGTGAGTGGCGGGTGAGTGAGCGAAGCTTCATTTGTGTTTATAGCCACTCCCCGTCACTCATATTACTGCCTGATCTTTGCCTTCTGTCAGTGGTGGCATTAAATTCTCATGGGAGTTCAAACCTTATTGTGAACTGCATATGCAAGGGATCTATGTTGTGTGCTTCTTATGAGAATATAATATCTGATGATCTGAGGTGGTGATGCTATATTTTTCATTATATATTACAATGTAGTAATAGTAGAAATAAAGTGCACAATACATGGAACATGCTTGAATCATCCTGAAACCATTCCTCCCCCATCTGTAAAAAAATGGTCTTCCATGAAACCAGTCCCTAATGCCAGAAAGGTTGGGGACCACTGCTGTAAATTGATAGTTGTCTCTTGTATCATTAAATGTTTTAAGTCTAAGCTTGAAGGTCAAGCTAGATAATAATTTAGAGGTGGCTATGAAATGTAGTTAGGTTTTCTGCTTAAAATATCTTTTCTTTTTTTCAGAGATCTGCAGCGAATAACCCTGCCCAGCATTAACCGCCTCAGGCACTTCACCAATGACACAATTCTGGATGTCTTCTTCTACAATAGCCCCACCTACTGTCAGACTATTGTGGACACAGTTGTTTCTGAAATGAACCGAATATACACACTTTTTCTGCAGAGGAACCCTGATTTCAAAGGGAGTGTATCCGTTGCTGGTCATAGTTTAGGTAACGAATTATCTGTGACCAGAGAGACTATCACATTTCAGGACATCTGTTTTTGAAGCAGTGTCTTTTTTCAGTATCAAAGTCAGAGGTTTAGAAGTGGTCTGTGATGAAGAATTTGGAAGGGGTTGGAAGGGTGGTGGTAAATTGGAAAGAAAGACTCCCTGATGTGTAGATTTGCTTACATATGTAATGGGCTTATGACGTTTTTGTATAACAGACAGCCATTTAGTGCTAATGCTTAGAAATTGTCCCTCTTTCTTCTTATTTTACTTATAGGTTCGCTTATATTGTTTGATATCCTAACAAATCAGAAAGATTCTTTGGGGGATATTGACAGTGAAAAGGTAATTTAGATGTTCAGATAGGTTCTCTTGTAGTATTCCTAAGTAAGGATTTTAAAATGTTAGACTTATTTTTTGTTTTTAGCTGAGTTTAGTTTTATTCCATGATACTATATTTACATTTACTTTCATTTTAACAGGGTTTTAATTATCTCTGTCATTCCTGGTTGATAGAAGCAAGACAGTAATATGCTTCTACAAATAATTACAAATTGTAAAATAACTATAGGTGTCTTATGTTCATTTATAAATATGCACTATTGATCTATTAATAGAATTCTAGAATTATTGAGCTAAATGGAGTTTGCGTACAAGGAAATGAAGAATGAACTGGATGAAAATTGATGTGATTTATAGAATTCAGTTTGAAAGTCCTATGAACACACTATTGTCTACAGTACTGATCTGATATTTAGCATATACTATTTAATATATATATATATTTTGTCGCCCTGGCTGGAGTGCAGTGGCACACTCACAGCCACTGTAGCTTTGACCAGCTGGGCTCAGGTGATCCTTCTGCCTCAGCCTTCTAAGTAGCTGGAACTACAGACACATGCCACAATGTCGGCTAATTTTTTTTTTTTTTTGGATTTATTGTAGAGATGAGGTCTCGCCTGGTTGCCCAGGCTGGTCTCAAACCTCTGGGCTCAGACAGTCCTCTCGTCTCCACCTCCCAAAGTGCTGGGACTACAGGTGTGAGCCACTGTGCCTGGCTCTTTTATTTCTTAAGCACTGTTTCCCTAATTCTTTAGCAGTAAACTTTATTAAAGCTCAAAAAATATTTTTTTAATGATGATGAAGAATACTTTATCATTCATATTCATTTAAATACATATTTCCAACTAAAGTTGCAAAAACCTGGAGATTGGTCACCTCTTAATTTATATTTTGCATAAATTACAATTTATTTAAAGTTAAGATAAATTGCTGTGGAAATCATACATTTCTTTACCACAAAATAGTATTAAAGGAAACTAAATGAACTTTGAGAATATGAGCTTTACAATTTAATTTTTAGGATTCACTAAATATTGTTATGGATCAAGGAGATACACTGACATTAGAGGAAGATTTGAAGAAACTTCAGCTCTCTGAATTCTTTAGTATTTTTGAGAAGGAAAAAGTAGATAAGGAAGCTCTGGTAAGAATCTTTTAAAACATTATGCTAAACCATTTTCAGTATTTTTACTGCTTATCATGTTTACTAAGAGCCTGTCCTTTAGAAGCTTTTTTAGTCATAAACGCTTTCTTATCATTAATAATGTTCTTTGACATTATTTATTTGTTTTTTATTATATAAAGTGACCTTTACTTTGTGGGAGTTCAAAGTTCAGGTGAGCCATATTGATATTCATGTAGCAGTGGAGCAAAGACTAAATAAACAGCACAGCTTATAGAAAGCATACCCCTAAATAACCATTAACTGTTCCAACTCTTATTTTCTGTTATACTTTTAGGAGCTCTACTGTTGCTGTTTGCTTGTTTTTTCCCACATTTGTTGTGCTTTTTTCTGGTTTGTGATAAGTATTCATTTAACAGATATTTAGTAAATGTTTACTATGATCAGCATACTATACCAAGTACTGGTGATAGAGTGGTAAATAAGACAGGTATGGTCCCTGCCCTCATAGTGTTTATAGTTTAGTGGGAAAGACACATATTAAGTAATCACAGACATAATTAATTATAATTATGATAAGAACTAGGTCGGGTGCAGTAACTCAAGCCTGTAATCCGAGCACTTTGGGGGGCCAAGGTGAGAGGATTGCCTGATCCCGCGGATTCAAGACCAGCCTGGGCAACTTGGTGAGACCTTGTCTCTACAATAAATAAAAAACTTAGCCAGGCGTGGGAGCATGTGCCTATAGTTCCAGCTACTTGGAAGGCTGAGGCAGAAGGATCACCTAAGTCCAGCAGTTGGACGTTGGGGTGACTGTGAACCTGCTACTGCACTCTAGCCTGGGCGATGGTGTGAGATTTCATCTCAAAAAAAAAAAAAAAGAATTAAGAAGGAAAG